GTCTCCATAAGCAGGGCCGGGGTCTAGCCTTCCTGTATCTTTTTTGGTTTAATTATTCCTTGTTATCTCAATCAGATTTCTGAGGGGAGATGAATTATCTAGTTTTTGGAGGCTTTTGCATTGATTAAAATGTTTTGTTACTTGAAAGTGGAGAACAAAGCTAAAAATCAACATTTTTTGCATTAAATTGTATTTTCATCAACAAGAATGCTAATGTAGGCAGCCATGTCATCTAACCCCTTTCTGTACTGTATTTCCATGTGATTTAATGCATAATTTTAATATTCTATATTTCTCTAGAGGTGTTACAGTGAAGTTCCATTCTGAAAAATGACTTTCTATGAACAGTACTCTGCAGTTCTGTCTGTGTCTCACTGATTCCAAGAAAAAATGTTTTTACCTGCTGTCAGGCCTTCTAACTCGCTAGATGCTTTGAGTCATTTGAGCTTTTTTCCTTCCCTCATATCACAAGTAATAAAAATTCTTGCAAGTGCTTGTCCATATACATTCCACTCTCTTGGTTAGTTCTCATGTATCCCAAGCACTCGATTTCAGAATCTTTTGTCTGCAGTGTCTCTTGGCCGCCTCTGTGCCCTTGTACCTTCACAACACCCATCCAAGGGCATAAAGGGAAAATGGGTCAACTGTCTTGCAGTTATTTCTTAGTACCTGCGGCTGTGAGACAGAATTGAGAGTAGTGTACCTATACTCCTCACATTTGCAATTCCAAAACAAAAATGTGGCTACATAATTACTAATTCAATGTAGTCTTCTGCTTAGGTTAGAATTTGAGCTGGACACATTTTTTTCATCTGAAACATTCTTTTGCCAAAAACTACCCAAAACACTGAGATTCCCAAGGATACTTAAGGGTACCAGTTATTAAATAAGGCTTAGGAGGAGCCCCTGCCTTGTATGAGTAGTTCAGTGGTTAGGGTACTCACCTGGGATATGGGAGACCCAGATTTGAATCTTCAGCTCTGTAATAGGGATAGGAACCCATCTGTTCCCCTCCCAGGTGAACACTCTTAACAACCAGGCTATAGAGTTTTTCTCTCACCCTGGCTTTGAGATTTGCACCTAAGTCAGAGTCCCTCTTGTGCCTCGAGCCTTTCATTTCCAAATTTCATTTGCTTAAAGTGTCCAAAATAAAAATGTAATGTTTACATTGTATTGAAATTAACATTCTGTCCAACCCCAAATTTGTTACTTACTGATTTCCCAAAAACATCCCCAAAATGTTGGGGTTTACCAATTTTTCTTTTGGGGAGAAGTTTATTTTCTAGCTAATTCTGCCCTGCATGCAATTTACACATAGCTGAATTTGATTCAGAAACTTCCATGAAAATACTGGTTGCTGAAGGAAGGCAATATCATTCCCCTATTTAGAGACTCAAAATAAGTAGAGAGCAGAATTTTCAATTAATTTTGATTGTGGTGGTATTATTGATTTTTGGTTTTCATCTACAAAATCTAATAGTAAAAAGTGAATCTTTGAATCTTTTTACAACTCCACAGGTCATGAATGTGAGAAAACTGAATAGGCAATTTAATCTTTTTCCTACATAAAGGAAAACAAACATTCTGTCATCTACCTTGCCTCCTCCCCCAATCTCCCCCCCAAAAGAAAAAAAAAAACCCTGACAGCTGAACTAATTATTTGCAAATTAAACACTATCAACTTGGGATTGAATAAGGATCTCAACTTATAAACACATTACAAAGGCAATTTCCCTTCTCTGGATCTCCACACCAAATGCTGTCAATGACACACTTCCACCCTGACTTGAGCTTCATTAACACAAGCAACTTCTTCCTTCTATTCTCCTGCTTCTGTAACTTCCACTCCAATTCATCTCATGAAGTGGGTTTTACTCACGAAAGTTTATGCCCTTATAAATGTGTTAGTCTCTAAGGGTATGTCTAGGGTGTGGCGCTATTTTGGGATACCGGAGGTATCCTAAAATAGCTATTCCACATCTTTTAAACCAGCCTTTATTTCAAAATAGATTTCAAAATAACAGACTCACTATTCCGACATCCCTGTAACCTTCGTTCCACAAGGGTTAATAAGCTATTTTGAAATTAGATCCAAATAAGATACACAATTTGCGTAGCTCAAATTGCGTATCTTATTCTGAGCTAAGAGTGCAGTGTAAACGCACCCTAAGTTGCCATAAGGACTCGTCGTTGTTTTTGCAGATACAGACTAGCACTACTACCCCGAGACCCAAAAAACTAGTGTAACAAACTTTTCCAAGTTTCTTACATTCCTAGATCCCTATATCTCCTTGAAAAGAAAGACTTCCTCTTCATAGAATCATAGGACTGGAAGGGACCTCAAGAGGTCATAGAGGCCAGCCCCCCGCCCTCAAGGCAGGACCAAGCTCTGTACAGTGTGACATATAACACTCTTGGCTGTACACATAGGAAAAGTTTATTCAAAATTATTAATATTACAGTAGCAAACACTGAGGACATATTTGGGTCCTTAATATTTCTAGGAAGAACTAGGGCCAAGATTTTTTTTAAATGAATAAATATATTGCCTCAGTTTCTAGGTGCCCTTTGTGTCATCTTAAAGGAACTTAATTTCTGGGAACTGGTGTGCCAGCCTGGACACCCCAAATTACTGAACTTTTAAAACTGTAGGCAGAGAAGCACATTTTCTTCTCCACTGCAGCACTTTTCATCTGGTTCCAACAACATAGACCTGCTTAAATACAGCACATTTAGTCCCCTAATGAGTGTTCTTACCTATGGAAAACCTTTGGTGCCAGAGAGCAAGAGTAGAGACCCCTAACCAAACTCCTCTTGGCTTCCTAGCATAGGGGCTATAGCCAGGGCTCCCATTGGCCAGAAATGGAAGAGATCCTGAGATCTTTTCTAACTTGCTGCAAGGGTATGGAACAAAACTGTCAACTTTGCATTCCTGTAGCTCACATAGGCTACGTCTACACTACAAGGTTTTTGTGCAAGAACAGCTATTTTTGCGCAAAAACCAGTGGAGTGTCCACACCTCAAAAGCGTTTTTGCACAAGTAAATTGGCAGAACAGAGGGCTTTTGCCAGTAGAGTTATTCCTCTCCCCACGAGGAATAACTCCTTTTTGCGCTACAGCTCTTGCGCAAAAAGGCAAGTGTGGACACTCTGGAGGGGTTTTTGCGCAAGTAACCCCTATCGGAAAAAGCACAGGTACTCTGATGGCCATCACAGCTTTCTTGTGCAAAAGCGTCCATGCAATGTGCACGTTCTCTTGCGCAAAAGCACATTGCTTTTGCGATACGCTTTGAGGTCTGGACGCACTTTTGGGCAAGAAGTTTTTGTGGAAGATCTCTTCTGCAAAAGGCTTCTTGCACAAAAACCCTGCAATGTAGACAAAGCGATCTATACTGTAATGCAAATGTGACAGTTCATATTTTGTAAAATTTAAGATGACTGTCAAAGGATGGTCTGAATTTGTTTTTTATTAAATAACTGCCATGTTTACTTGAGGACTTTTTAGATAATTTTAATTTTCAGTTATGCAAAATTAGACTGTAGTGACATGATGTGATTCAAAATGTTAAAGCTTTATAACTTTAAATTTATCAACAGATCGAAATATACATAGTAAATATCCTTAAACTCAAATTTTCAAGTAGCATTTTGCTTACTTTGCCTACATGTAAATTTCAGTTACTGATACAAATAACTATCAATGTATATTGCAAGTATAGAAAATGTACTGTGTACTGTGCAAAGGAAATGAAATTAGTGTGTAACTGAATCCTGTGTGTACTGTGGGAGTTGTTTCTAGCACAAAAGTGATTGTGTCATGGTAAAGGATCTGATATAGAGTATACATAAGTACTGAAAATTCAGAAACAAGGACTTGTACTTGCTGAATAAGCAACATTATTGTAATGAAAACCCTTAAATGATAGCAAGTTTCCATTAGCTGGTAGCGTGTTCCATATTAAAAGTTTATTTGGGTGTCGATTTAATAGTTTTTTTAACATCTCAGGCTATTTAATCATGTGCTATTGTGTTTGAATTTCTAGGAACACCTGTTTTTCTCATGGGCATAGACATACATTTTCAAATAAAACGATCAGAGCAAAAAATGAACGTAAGTAGATGATTCACCCAAAGCAAACCGTATCTGAGAAAGGTAAAAGCCTTAGATGTTAATGACAGATTGCAATGTTTCCTTTTACAGTTCTTGAAGGATGCCTCATTCCAACAGGGGTGGCCCGTCCATATAGGTGAACTAGGCAGTTGCCTAGGGCACCAAGTTAACTGGGACGCCAAATGGTGGCGCAATATCTTTGAGGGGCTTGGAAGGGGGGTGTTGATTGCATGGTTCGCCTAGGGCACCCGTTGCTGGCAGCTAGTCTAGGGCCACCTGTGCATTCCAATACTTTTATTTTCCATGTCCAGTGGGTATTTGAGTGTTGTTTTGCACCACCTACTATCATTGGATCGTCCTTCTTTACCTTGGCCTTAATTCTGGAATAGTTTTGTCTTAGGATGGGCTGAGGAACCTCAGCCCCCCTCCAGGGTTGTTCCCTCTTCTGCTGTCGCGTGTGGGGCTGGAGCACACACAATGTGCTACCCTGGGCCTTTCTCCTCAGGGCCCATGTCAGCAAGAGTTTGGATTAGGAGTTGGTGCCTTAAAGGTGCTGCTTTACCCGAGCCACGGGACCCCGCTGCGTATTGTTCAAACGGGGCAGAAATTGAACAAAACCAAATACAGCGCAGCCCCTTAGCAAATGACAAAAAATAAACCCGCCCCTGGGCTGTGGCTAATGCCAGGTGTGGGGACTGCGCCAGGGCAAGGAGGCGGGGCCGTGCACTTGCCTGCCCAGCGCAGCCTCATCCACTGCTGCGGCGCTGGGCGCTGCGCCGACCCGGCCAGAGCAGCCGGTGAGGGCGGTGCCTCTGTACGTGGGGCTCCACCCCCTCCCGACGAAGCCTGTGGGAAGCGTCACGTGCTCGTTCACGCCCATTCCGGCCTCGCCGCTGTTTTGCGTACGCGGGAAATGACGCAATATCGAGGCATACCGCGATAGTGGCTGTGCGCCGGGGCGCTCTCCGGAACGAGGCTGGGCGCCTCTCTGCTCCTTCCTCCCGCCCGATGGCAGCTTGTAAAGCAGGGAAAGCCCCGAGGGCCGCGCGGCGCGGAGCAGGGGGAGGGCGCGCGGCTCCCCC